TCATTAACCACCAGTCTGGAAGCTTTATCTATCTCCAAAAATGCTAAAAAAAAATCATATGGGTGCAGTGTTGCATGACCGCGCAATTGTCATTCAAAGTGGGACAACACTGAAAGCTGAAAATTGGCCTGGACAGGAAGGGGGTGAAAGTGTCCGGACAGGTAGGGGGGGTGAAAGTGTCCGGACTGGAAGGGGGTGAAAGTGTCCGGACTGGAAGGGGGTGAAAGTGTCCGGACTGGAAGGGGAGTGAAAGTGTCCGGACTGGAAGGGGAGTGAAAGTGTCCGGACTGGAAGGGGGTGAAAGTGTCCGGACTGGAAGGGGGGTGAAAGTGTCCGGACTGGAAGGGGGTGAAAGTGTCCGGACTGGAAGGGGGGGTGAAAGTGTCCGGACTGGAAGGGGGGGAAAGTGTCCGGACTGGAAGGGGGGGAAAGTGTCCGGACTGGAAGGGGGGTGAAAGTGTCCGGACTGGAAGGGGGGTGAAAGTGTCCGGACAGGAAGGGGGGTGAAAGTGTCCGGACTGGAAGGGAATGACAGTGTCCGGACTGGAAAGGGGGTGAAAGTGTCCGGACTGGAAGGGGGGGAAAGTGTCCGGACTGGAAGGGGGGGAAAGTGTCCGGACTGGAAGGGGGGGAAAGTGTCCGGACTGGAAGGGGGGGTGAAAGTGTCCGGACAGGTAGGGGGGTGAAAGTGTCCGGACTGGAAGGGGGGTGAAAGTGTCCTGGACAGGAAGGGGGGTGAAAGTGTCCGGACTGGAAGGGGGTGAAAGTGTCCGGACTGGAAGGGGGTAAAAGTGTCCAGACTGGAAGGGGGGTGAAAGTGTCCGGACTGGAAGGGGGGGAAAGTGTCCGGACTGGAAGGGGGTAAAAGTGTCCGGACTGGAAGGGGGGTGAAAGTGTCCGGACTGGAAGGGGGGGAAAGTGTCCGGACTGGAAGGGGGGTGAAAGTGTCCGGACTGGAAGGGGGGTGAAAGTGTCCGGACTGGAAGGGGGTGAAAGTGTCCGGACTGGAAGGGGGTGAAAGTGTCCGGACTGGAAGGGGGGTGAAAGTGTCCCGGAAGGGGGTGAAAGTGGGACTGGAAGGGGGGTGAAAGTGTCCGGACTGGAAGGGGGTGAAAGTGTCCGGACTGGAAGGGGGGTGAAAGTGTCCGGACTGGAAGGGGGGTGAAAGTGTCCGGACTGGAAGGGGGGTGAAAGTGTCCGGACTGGAAGGGGGGTGAAAGTGTCCGGACTGGAAGGGGGTGAAAGTGTCCGGACTGGAAGGGGGTGAAAGTGTCCGGACTGGAAGGGGGTGAAAGTGTCCGGACTGGAAGGGGGGTGAAAGTGTCCGGACTGGAAGGGGGGGGAAAGTGTCCGGACTGGAAGGGGGTGAAAGTGTCCGGACTGGAAGGGGGTGAAAGTGTCCGGACTGGAAGGGGGTGAAAGTGTCCGGACTGGAAGGGGGGTGAAAGTGTCCGGACTGGAAGGGGGTGAAAGTGTCCGGACTGGAAGGGGGGAAAGTGTCCGGACTGGAAGGGGGGTGAAAGTGTCCGGACTGGAAGGGGGGGAAAGTGTCCGGACTGGAAGGGGGGGTGAAAGTGTCCGGACTGGAAGGGGGGGAAAGTGTCCGGACTGGACTGGAAGGGGGTGAAAGTGTCCTGGACTGGAAGGGGGGGTGAAAGTGTCCGGACTGGAAAGGGGGTGAAAGTGTCCGGACTGGGAAGGGGGGTGAAAGTGTCCGGACTGGAAGGGGGTGAAAGTGTCCGGACTGGAAGGGGGTGAAAGTGTCCGGACTGGAAGGGGGGGAAAGTGTCCGGACTGGAAGGGGGTGAAAGTGTCCGGACTGGAAGGGGGGTGAAAGTGTCCGGACTGGAAGGGGGGGGGAAAGTGTCCGGACTGGAAGGAAGGGGGGTGAAAGTGTCCGGACTGGAAGGGGGGGAAAGTGTCCGGACTGGAAGGGGGTGAAAGTGTCCGGACTGGAAGGGGGGTGAAAGTGTCCGGACTGGAAGGGGGGTGAAAGTGTCCGGACTGGAAGGGGGTGAAAGTGTCCGGACAGGAAGGGGGTGAAAGTGTCCGGACTGGAAGGGGGGTGAAAGTGTCCGGACTGGAAGGGGGGGGTGAAAGTGTCCGGACAGGAAGGGGGGGTGAAAAGTGTCTGGACTGGAAGGGGGGTGAAAGTGTCCGGACTGGAAGGGGGGGTGAAAGTGTCCGGACTGGAAGGGGGGTGAAAGTGTCCTGGACTGGAAAGGGGTGAAAGTGTCCGGACTGGAAGGGGGGTGAAGTGTCCGGACTGGAAGGGGGGGTGAAAGTGTCCGGACAGGAAGGGGGGTGAAAGTGTCCGGACAGGAAGGGGGTGAAAGTGTCCGGACTGGAAGGGGGTGAAAGTGTCCGGACTGGAAGGGGGTGAAATTGTCCGGACTGGAAGGGGGTGAAAGTGTCCGAAAGGAAGGGGTGAAAGTGTCCGGACAGGAAGGGGGTGAAAGTGTCCGGACTGGAAGGGGGGGGTGTGAAAGTGTCCGGACTGGAAGGGGGTGAAATTGTCCGGACTGGAAGGGGGGTGAAAGTGTACCGAACAGGAAAGGGTGAAAGTGTGGGACAGGAAGGGGGTGAAAGTGTCCGGACTGGAAGGGGGTGAAAGTGTCCAGGACTGGAAGGGGTGAAAGTGTCCGGACTGGAAGGGGGGGAAAGTGTCCGGACTGGAAGGGGGTGAAAGTGTCCGGACTGGAAGGGGGGGAAAGTGTCCGGACTGGAAGGGGGGTGAAAGTGTCCGGACAGGAAGGGGGTGAAAGTGTCCGGACTGGAAGGGGGTGTGAAAGTGTCCGGACTGGAAGGGGGGTGAAAGTGTCCGGACTGGAAGGGGGGTTGAAAGTGTCCGGACTGGAAGGGGGGTGAAAGTGTCTGGGACAGGAAGGGGGGTGAAAGTGTCCGGACTGGAAGGGGGGTGAAAGTGTCCGGGACTGGAAGGGGGGTGAAAGTGTCCGGACAGGAAGGGGGGTGAAAGTGTCCTGGGACTGGAAGGGGGGTGAGAAAGTGTGTCCGGACTGGAAGGGGGTGAAAGTGTCCGGACTGGAAGGGGGGGGTGAAAGTGTCCGGACTGGAAGGGGGTGAAAGTGTCCGGACTGGAAGGGGGTGAAATTGTCCGGACTGGAAGGGGGTGAAAGTGTCCGGACAGGAAGGGGGTGAAAGTGTCCGGACAGGAAGGGGGTGAAAGTGTCCGGACTGGAAGGGGGGTGAAAAGTGTCCGGACTGGAGGGGGTGAAATTGTCCGGACTGGAAGGGGGTGAAAGTGTCCGAACAGGAAGGGGTGAAAGTGTCCGGACAGGAAGGGGGGTGAAAGTGTCCAGACTGGAAGAGGGTGAAAGTGTCCGGACAGGAAGGGTGGTGAAAGTGTCCGGACTGGAAGGGGGTGAAAGTGTCTGGACTGGAAGGGGGTGAAAGTGTCTGGACAGGAAGGGGGGTGAAAGTGTCCGCACAGGAAGGGGGGTGAAAGTGTCCGGACTGGAAGGGGGTGAAAGTGTCGGACTGGAAGGGGTGAAAGTGTCCGGACTGGAAGGGGTGAAAGTGTCCGGACTGGAAGGGGGTGAAAGTGTCCGGACTGGAAGGGGGGAAAGTGTCCGGACTGGGAAGGGGAGGGAAAGTGTCCGGACTGGAAGGGGGTGAAAGTGTCCGGACTGGAAGGGGGGGGAAAGTGTCCGGACTGGAAGGGGAGGGAAAGTGTCCGGACTGGAAGGGGTGAAAGCGTCCGGACTGGAAGGGGGTGAAAGTGTCCGGACAGGAAGGGGGTGAAAGTGTCCGGACAGGAAGGGGGGTGAAAGTGTCCGGACTGGAAGTGGTTAAAAAAAAAACAGTAAAGTGCCACTGTCGCACTGTGCTCGCGTACAAACAGGGGCGGACTGACCATTTGGAAACTCGGGCACTGCCCGAGGGCCCGGGTCAGTAGGGGGCCCCATGCGATGCCCCTGGTACCTTTTTTCATAGGCTTTTTTGAGTTTGGGCAAGGACACAGGGACCCCATGATCCCCTATTGCCCGTGGGCCCCATGAGTTGTCAGTCCGCCCCTGCATACAAAGACGAACGCACGTGTCGGTTCCTCACGCATAGACGTACCAGAATTACAAGCACCTTGAAGAGCACTGAAAGTCCCTTTATGAACTTTATTTTTCTATGAACCTTTAATACGACATTCTCACCAATTTTATGACCATAATACCGTTTTAGCGCTGCACTACTGTTATATTATTCTTGGGGGGTTATTACTTTGGTTACCTTTGTGCAAAGCTGCTTCATTTTTTGCGTGCGCTCACATTGGCTTACTTTACATGTAACCGATTTCTGTTTCTAATGAGGAATCGTCTCCACGGTTTGTTACGTCGGGGTCTGGCCTCCAATCCCGGCCGCTTGTCACCGATTTCTGTTTCGGCAATTTTTGTTGCAATTCTCATTCTTCTCCAAATCTCAGCAGAGAGAGACGCTGAACAACGAGCGTCAACGAGCCGCGCTCTTCAGACAATTCCAGCTTTATTCGTCTTGTGCCGGCTGGTATAATGATGGGGGGGGGGGAGGGGTGATAACAGAGGAGGTGACAGCTCACCCTGCCATGCGTTTATACAGCGGGATGTTCAGCTGCCGACACTTATTCCAGCAGGATGCAAACGCAGTTAAAGCGACATTTGAACCCGGAGAGAATGGCATTTATTTTGCTAAAGAGCCTTTTTTTCTCTCCAATGAAATACGTTTTTTTCTTCTTTTAATGACATTGCAGAGTCAGGGGCATTTTTTTTTTCCTTTCAGTGACACCACAAACACAGGGCCAGTGTTTCTTTTCAGTGACACCACCGACTCAAGGACATATATTTCCTTTTAGTGACAACACCAACTCTGAGACATTTTTTTTTCCATTTCAGTAAAACCAACAAAGGGATGTCACATACTCAGGGACATTTTTTTTTCCTATTAGTGACACCACAGACTCCGAGACATCTTTTTTCCTATTAGTGACACCACCAGGGGCGGGCTGACAGCTCATGGGGCCCCCGGGAAATAGGGGATCATGGGGCCCCCTGTGTCCTTGCCCAAACTCAAAAAAGCCTATGAAAAAGGTACCAGGGTCATCTCATGGGGGCCCCCTACTGACCCCGGGTCCTCGGGCAGTGCCCGAGTTTCCAAATGATCAGTCCGCCCCGGGACACCACAGACTCAGGGACATCTTCTTTTCTATTAGTGACACCACAGACTCAGGGACATCTTCTTTTCTATTAGTGACACCACAGACTCAGGGACATCTTTTTTCCTATTAGTGACACCACAGACTCAGGGACATCTTTTTTCCTATTAGTGACACCACAGACTCAGGGACATCTTTTTTCCTATTAGTGACACCACAGACTCAGGGACATCTTCTTTTCTATTAGTGACACCACAGACTCAGGGACATCTTTTTTCCTATTAGTGACACCACAGACTCAGGGACATCTTTTTTCTTATTAGTGACACCACAGACTCAGGGACATCTTTTTTCTTATTAGTGACACCACAGACTCAGGGACATTGTTTCCTTTTAAGGCATTTATTTTGCTAAATAGTCTTTTTTTCTCCGATGAAATACATTTTCCTTCTTTTAATGACATTGCCAGGGGCTGACTGACCATTTGGAAACTCGGGCACTGCCCGAGGGCCCGGGGTCAGTAGGGGCCCCATGAGATGCCCCTGGTACCTTTTGCATAGGCTTTTTTGAGTTTGGGCAAGGACACAGTGGCCCCATGACCCCCTATTGCCCGGGGGCCCCATGAGTTGTCAGTCCGCCCCTGGACATCGCAGAGTCAAGGGCATTTTTTCCTTTTAGTGACACCACCAACACAGGATCAGTGTTTCCTTTTAGTGACACCACAGGTTCAGGGCCTTTTTTTTGTTTTAGTGACACCACCAACTCTGAGACATTTTTTTCCCCATTTCAGTAAAACCAACAAGGGGATGCCACAGATTCGAGGACATTTTTTTTTCTATTAGTGACATCACAGACTCAGGGACATTGTTTCCTTTTAAGACATCACCAAGTCTAGGGCATTTTGCCCTTCCAGTGACACCACTTACTCATTGATCTTTTTTTCTTTTAGTGACACAACCAACATGGGATTACTTTTCTTTCCAGTGACATCACCAACTCCGGCACATTTAATTTTTTTCATTTCAGTGACACCAACAACAAGGGGGCATTTTTCCCTCCAGTGACAGCTTACTCAGGGATCTTTTTCCTTTCAGTGACACTATCAACTCAGGAACATTTTTTCCTTCTAGTGACACCACCAACTCAGGAACATTTTTTTCCTTTTAGTGACACCAACAAGGGGACATTTTTCCCTCCAGTGACAACTTACTCAGGGACCTTTTTCCCTTCAGTGACACTGCCAACTCAGGGACATTTTTTACATCTGGTGACACCACCAACTCTGAGACCTTTTTATTCATTTGTGGAAAACCACCAACAAGGGGAAAATCCTTTCAGTGACACCACCGACTCATGGGCATTTTTTCCTTTCAGTGATGCCACTTACTCAGTGATCTTTTTTTCTTATAGTGACACAACCAACATGGGAATATCTTTCCTTCTGGTGACATCACAAACTCTGGCACATTTCAGTGACACCAAACAACAAGGGGACATTTTTCCGTCCAGTGACACCACTTACTCAGGGATCTTTTTCCTTTCAGTGACACTATCAACTCAGGAACATTTTTTCCTTCTGGTGACACCACCAAATCCGAGACCTTTTTATTCATTACAGGAAAACCACCAACAAGGAGAAATCCTTTTAATGATACCACTGACTCAGGGACATTTTTTCATGCAGACGGGCACTGGAACCCGCAGCTGAGCGTGGCACACGTGTTCATTTGTAGGTTCAGTCATGCTACACGCATCTGCACTTCACATTTTAGACGGCGATGTGAATGAAAAGTATTTGTAAAGGCTTTGTTTTTTTTTTTCAAAATAACAAAAACATCATACTTACCTGCTCGGTGCCCAAACCTCCTCTTCTGGGGTCCCCTACCGGCAATCTAGGCTCCTCCTCTTCTTGGGTCTTCCAAGGCACTCTACACTCCTTCACTTCTGGGGTCCCCTGCTGGCATTTTAAGCTCCTCCTCTTCTTAGGTCTCCTGCCAGCACTCTACACTTCTTCCCTTCTGGGGTCCCTTGCCAGCACTCTAGGCTCCTCCTCCTCTGGGTTCTGCTGCCAGCACTCTAGGCACCTCCTCTTCTTAGATCTCCTGCCAGCACTCTACACTTCTTCCCTTCTGGGGTCCCCTGCTGGCACTCTAGGTTCCTCCTCCTCTGGGTTTTTGCTGCCAGCACTCTAGGTTCCTCTTCTGGGGTCCCTCACTAGCACTCTAGTCTGCTCCTCTTAGGTTTCCTACCAGCACTTCTGGGGTCCCCCTCCAGCACTCTACACTCCTTCACTTCTAGGGTCCCTTGCCAGCACTCTAGGCTCCTCCTCTTCTTAGATCCCCTGCCAGCACTCTAGGCTCCTCCTCTTCTTAGATCTCCTGCCAGCACTCTAGACTTCTCCTCTTCTGGGGTCCCTCACTAGCACTCTAGTCTGCTCCTCTTAGGTTTCCTACCTGCACTCTACACTTCTTCATGTCTGGGGTCCCCCTCCAGCACTCTACACTCCTTAACTTCTGGGGTCCCCCTCCAGCATTCTACACTCCTTCACATCTGGGATCCCCTGCCAGCACTCTAGGCTCCTCCTCTTCTTAGATCTCCTGCCAGCACTCTAGGCTTCTCCTCTTCTGGGGTCCCTCACTAGCACTCTAGTCTGCTCCTCTTCTTAGGTTTCCTACCTGCACTCTACACTTCTTCATGTCTGGGGTCCCCCTCCAGCACTCTACACTCCTTAACTTCTGGGGTCCCCCACCAGCACTCTACACTTTTTCACTTCTGGGGTCCCCCGCCAGCACTCTACACTCCACTTCTGGGGTCCCCCACCAGCACTGTAGGCTCCTCCTCTTCTTAGATCTGCTACCAGCACTCTAGGCTTCTCCTCTTCTGGGGTCCCTCACTAGCACGCTATACTTCTCCTCTGGGGTCCCCTGCCAGCACTCTAGGCTCCTCTCTTCTTAGGTCTCCTGCCAGCACTCTACTCTGCTGCATGTCTGGAATTTCATCAATTCTGTTTCCTTTAACCACTTAGCGCCCAGCCACCTCATATAAACGGTGGCAGGGCGGCGCTCGTAGGCAAAAGCACGTTTTTTAAAACGGCTGCCTTCAAAACAGGTAGGGGGCGCACGCGAGGCGCGCGCCCCACCCTACCTGTCCCGCGGGGTGTCAGCAGCGGGTGTCAGCCGACGGGGTCACGGACGGTTTTTACCGGCCGTTTTCCCGCGATTGCCGGTGATCGCTAACACAGAGCAGGGCTGCATTGTTTACACACAGCCCTGTTCTGTGTCAGTTCTCTGACAGCTTGTGAGAAGCTGCAGAGTTTCTCTCCCTAGATCAGCTCCCCCCTCCCTCCCCCCCCCCCCCCTCCAGTACACACCCCCGCCCCCTTCACACTCCCCTTACATAGCAAATTCTAAAAATGTTAACCCTTCCTCCCCAGTGCCATTAGTACAGTTTCAGTGGGTTTTTTTTCACTGATCACTGTATTGGTGTCACTGGGGATGTCAGTGACCCCAAGTCAGTTCCCCCCCCCCAGTGTCAAATGTCCGCCGCTGTCCCACAGTCCTGCCATAAGTCCCTGATCGCTGCCAAAAGTCGCTGATCGGCGCCATTATTAGTATAAATAAAAATTAAAAATCCCAGTATCTTTCCCGCCATTTGTAAACGCTATAACTTTCACGTAAACCAATTAATTTACACGTATTGGGATTTTTTTGTAGCAAAGACATGGAGCAGAATGTATTTTGGCAGAAATTTATGACTAAATTTGATTTTTGCATTTTTTTTTTTACTGGACACGTTTTATAGCAAAAAGTCCAAAAATATTGTTTTTTTTCCTCAAAATTGTCAGCCTTTTTTTTTTTTTTATAGCGCAAAAAAATAAAAACCGCACAGGCAATCAAATACCACCGAAAGAAAGCTCAATTTGTGGGGAAAAAAAGGATGTAAATTTCATTTATGTACCGTATTGCATGACCGCGCAATTGTCTGTTAAACTAGCGCAGCGCTGTATAGCAGAAAAATGGCGTAAATGGCAGTATCTATCCCATAGTTTGTAGACGCTATAACTTCCACACAAAGCAATCAATATACACTTATTGGGATTTTTTTTACCAAAAACATGGAGCAGAATACATTTTGGCCTAAATTTATAACTAACTTTGAGTTTATTATATATTTTTTATAGCTGAAAGTAAAAAAAATATTGTTTTTCTTCAAAATTTTTGGCCTTTTTTTGTTTATAGCGTGAAAAATAAAAAGCGCACAGGTGATCAAATACCACCGAAAGAAAGCTCTATTTGTGTGAAAAAAAGGACGTAAATTTCGTTTGGGTGCAGCATTGCATGAAACGCGCAATTATCAGTTGAATTAGTGCAGCGCCGAGTAGCAAAAAGAGCCGTGGTCATTAAGGGGGGTAACCAACCAGAGGGATACCACTCACCAAGAGCTAGCAGGAGGACCCCCAGTGGAAGAGGACCACCAGCCTCATACACAGCAGAGGGAGGACCACCCATCACCAGATGACATCTGGATTATTTTTACACAAAAGCGCATATATTATGTGCGTCCGGTGAGTGCGCATTGCTTTACCATTTATTCACATGGATACCAGGATCTTTAAAGGCCCCGAAGCACTTATACTCCTATATTGAATTACAGGACTGTTTATTTATTTTATTGATTTAATATTTGCTATTTTAGTTTACCTATAAGCGCTGCACTATTTTGTATACATTATTATTCTTTAGGGGTTATTGGTACCTTGTCTGTGCATAGCAGCTTATCAACCTATTACTAAGGCGCTTTTTTTTTACCTATTTTTATGTTATTTCTTCTACTACTCCATAAGAATCCACTGGTCTGCCACCCAGGAGAGTTAGAAGTTAGAACATGTCAGAACACGCTCCAGTGCGAATGGCTGTGTGACTCCCCACCATAGGGCTACACCACGGGCATTCTGTTCTGGGAATTACATTTTTTT